AAAAAGTAAAATGAAGCTCAAAGATTAGGATGAATCCCCAATTTTCAGTATCTTTGTTCTTTAACCCTACACTACATGGGATCATCTATTTATGAACTCAGTTACCAGTTCAAAGAACTGTCTTTTATTAGTGCTAGTCTATTATATTCTGCTGACTAGAAAACAAGTTTTGAAACAAACTTCAGTTCTCTGAACCAATTTAGTGTCCCCTGCTCTATACACTTCTTATGAGACCCATATTTCTATTTTTTGGACTTTACTGCTAATCTTCTAGTTCCTGAGTACTTAAAATATCTTTTCCTCTCTACTTTCCCTGACAAGCCCCATTCTCCAATAAAATAAAACTAAACTAAACATAAGAAGACAGCATGGACAGTTGCAGCAATGATTCAAAGGTTACATGCCTTGTCAAATCTATTAAGTACTAAGACCCTACTCTAAGGTTATCTCTGTACTTACTTCAGAATTAGCATATATAGGGAAGATTACAATATTGTAACTCCTGAAAAGGACCATAATTTCAGGCTGAAGAAGTGATAAATGCATTTAAATAAAAGACACAAGAGACACAAAAAAGTGCTTATAAAAAACTAACTTATTTTCAAAATGGGACTTTTTATTTTTTATGCCAGTTGTTTCTTCTTCTTCTTCTTCTTCTTCTTCTTCTTCTTCTTCTTCTTCTTTTTTTTGTACTGACACAAGATGCATCCTCACAAGAAATGAAATCACGGTCTATTAATCTTATGCCAAAAAAATGGCAAACATTATAAAGAATATCATCCTATGAGAATCTAATGAAACTATGAAAGTATTACTGTTATTATTAAAGCAAAATGAAGGCTACAGATTATAGGTACTATGGAAACTCAAATTAAGAAGCTAGTGTAAGCTAAATTAAAGGAAAAGTTCAGTATTATAACTCTCTAATCATCAAAAAACACTACTTTCAATAATAAGCACAGTCAGCCAGTAAATGCAGGTATTTAAATGTGAATAAATTGTATAAGATTTAAGTGAATCAGATGATTCCAATCCTCTGCATGCAACTTAATTTTTGCCATACCACCCCCAGCAAAATCCTAAAGAACAAAGCATTAATCTCGTTTTGTATAAAACTATTTTCTCAAGATCCGCTAAGGGATCTTGATGTAAATGTAAATCTTTCTTTATATCAAGAAATAAAAATCTAAAGATAACACAAAACTAAATAATTCAACAACTTACAAAACTAAATGATAATATTTAATTTCTTTTACCACAAGAGTGTTATTTATTAAAATTCCGTAAAGACCTCCGAAAACACAGTATTTGAAAAAATCAAATTAACTGTCTGAAACACCCCTGAAAAAAGTAGCATTTTAAAATGATAAGCTTTCACAGACATTACCATAAAAAACAGAAGTTACCAATATCGAATACTTGCTTGCTAAGGATTTTACATACATTACCTTAGTGCATATTATGAAACAGGCATCATCATCCCCACTTTATATATGTGAAAAATAAGATTCATATAGTTAACTTATATGCTCTGGGTCTCACAACTAGGAAATGAAAGTGGGAATTGAATTCAGTTCTCTGTGACTCTGTAAGCAGTGCTCTTACCCATTCTTACACTAATGCTTCCCAACTTTTGTCACATGATGGCACACACTAAAAATTGTATTTGTAAGGCTTACTAAGGTAAACTGGTGGAGCTTGGTGAAAATAATATATATTTTCCTTAGATCAAACACTTATGACATGAAAAATAAAATGCCAAGTATTACAGATGATATTAAACACTAATTGGCATAATAAAATATTTTCATGTGCCGTGTTTCCAAAGTTTACAGAAGGAATCATACTAAAAATGTTCAAATATCATTTCAACTGTTGTGAAATTTTTAAGTTATGAAAATGACTTAAAGTTTCAAAACTATAAAAAAAATTTACAAACAGCACACTTATATGCCATCCTATGCACTGCACTCTGGTTGGGAAGCTTTGCATAATATAATTTGTCTTTCCACAGAATATTATGATTAATTTGGCATTATCAAGATCTTCCCAATAACACACCGAAAGGAAATTCAAATCAAAGGTAATAAAAAAATTTTAACATTCAAGTATTCCTTCCATTGAAGTATAATTCTTCCATTGAAGTATTACTAATTTGGCCCACACCAGGTTCTTAATTTGAATTTCTATAGTACCTATAATCTGTAACATTCTTTTTGATTTAATAATAACAATAATAGTTAGGGGTGCCTGGGTGGCTCAGTTGGTTAAGTGTCTAACTCTTGATTTCGGCTCAGGTCATGATCTCAGTTTAAGGGATCCAGCCCCACGTTGGGCTCCAGGCTGAGCATGGAGCTCTCTTGAGACTCTCTCTCTCTCCCACTGCCCCTCTTCCGCACTCACACTCCTCTAAAAAAATTTTTTTTAATAAATAATAGCTAATATTCATTGAGCTAATCCTATGTGCCAGGCTGTGTTTCACTTCACATTATCATATTTAATGCTCATAGCAGTATGAAGTAGCTCTATTTTCTCCATCTTACAGATGAGGAAACAGAGGCAGAGAAACTGAGTAACTTCCTTACAATTAGTAAATGGGAACTAGAATTTGAAACAGTTTGACTTCATAGCCCTGGTTGTTAATCACTATGCTAAACTACATTCCTCCAGATAGAAAATACAGTAATATTTAATGAACACATATTACGTGCCAGGAGAAACAAAAGTAAGTAAATATATCTCAACTTAGATTAAGTTTGACAGTTTCACAGTGATGAAGTAAAAATGACTACATCAAAAGAGGTATTCTACAGAAAAAGAAAAAAAAAGGTGTCTGCCTACTGTGATGAGTGCATTCTGCTTACAGAAAAGAAGGGAAAACTTTAACTTCTGCTCATAATGATATGGTTCAAGCAAGAGCATCTGTGTCTGCAACCTATTTGAATTTGTTGATTTAACTTGCTCAAGAATATAAAAAAAAATCTTACTTAAAACAATGAAATTGATAAAAATTAAAAGCAAATGTTTTAGTACTTTGATTTTTTACTTCCTGCTTTTGAAGTCCCTAAGTCATCATGTATTTAATGTTGTTTTTAATTAAATGCACTATTTATAAAGTTCTGAACAAAGATTTTTCCAGACATTTGCTTGCCTAAATTCTGCCTGCCAAATCCTGCCATTTGGAAGAAAGCCTCACAGTTTACAACTGTATTACACTAGGCTAATGTCCTAAGGGGATCTCTGATGGCCAATGTAAATCAAAACTTATAAATACACCTTTAATTTCATAACCAATCAATCAATACAGACAACAACAATGCCTTGGGTATAATGGTTTATATTAAGTGTCTAAAAAAGCCCAAAGAGCCATGTCCAACATTAGCTGGTTCATGCTAGTTAATAGCAAATATTTAAGGAGCACCTACTATATGCCATGGACCATGCTCATCCACAAAAGATACCTGTTCTATAGAGAGTGGCAGTCTAGAACTACAATTCGAATTCACATGTTATGAAAGGTCAGATATTGAAACCAAAAGCTCAAGCTCCAATGCATAACTTTCCCCCTAGATCCAAAGAGCTGTTCCCAGTCATCTGCAATCTACAAACCACTAGATACATTAACATCAAGAGACTAGCATGGGCACCCAGCACATCCTGGAATACAAAATATGCCTTGGGTTATGGTGGTGCATTCTGCCCTCTGGAGCTTTACACCCTGAAAATCTGGCAATTCTCCTAAAGCGACTCATTTTCCTCAAAAACCAATTGTTTTAAAAAGTTCTTTTGCTTACAGAAACCAATACTCCTACTTACTCTTCTCTAAAAGAATTGTAGAAAATACTAACAGTAAAGGAATCGTGGCTTAACTTATCAGTAAGCTAATACCAGGGTCTATGACTTACTGAGTCTCTAAAAGCCAGTCTCCAAAATGTTTAAACTAATCGTGTGGAGCAAAATGCATCTGACTGTACCTAAAAACTGCTCAAAATGAATGTCGGGTAAAAGAAACAGTAATTTTCTGAAGCCAGTATTTTTAGTTTAAAGAAACCAAAAAAGATTAAAAAGTTCACCAGAAGTTTGTCACAGCTTTTATACTGTGTCCAATTCCATAATTTATCCTAAGATAACTCCATTCCCACTGCAGTCACCCCTAGCAACTATTCAGCAGCTCCCAAGTATGTAATCTTTTGTCCGCTGTATCTTTTGCCACAAACCTCAAACAAGCGAGTCCTTAAATTTCCTCAGCTCACACCACCTCCCCCCTTTATAATAACAAAGGAAAGAGTTATAAAACCTTAAGGGAGTAAAAATGATAGAAAAAGGTGGAAAAGTATAGACAGCCTCTGTACCCAAGCTCTTTTCTTTTATATCTGAGAACTTATAATTTTATTTCAACCACACATCTTCAGGTTCCAGGATAATCCAGGGTTCCTTCACCCTACCAACAGTTCAAAATGTCCACTCGCTAATAAATGACAAGGGCCCTTATGTGACCACTCTGTCCCTGCCCCTTTATTTACATTAATCATTCAAGCATCCCAACTACATCCTGTCAAAGTAAGTTATCACCACGCTCCAAACTCATAAGCCATTCTACAACCCCAACAAACTCTATCCCGTCTTCTTTGCTATGAACACACCCTAACCCTCTGCAAAACCTTCCCTAATACCAGCTCTTCCTTTATGAGCCTTTCCCATATTCCTAACATGGGTCTCAATGTCCCACTGCCCCACACTCCCAAGCTCTCTTCAGTAAACGCAATTCCAGCACGGAGTCACACCCTCCCTCCAGCCTAATTCCTACAACTCCAAACCCCACCCCCTCCCCTCATCACGCCCTCCAGAGCTTCAGCCACCAACGAACACCCCGCCCCACGGCCGTCACGCCTCCAGATCCCTTCGGGGTCCTTTCCGCCGACTGGGCCCGACCCTCCTCAGGGCTCCCGAGTGCCTAGGCCCTCCCATTCACCCTGCCAGCTCCGCCCTCAGCCCCTCACCGAGTAGTAGCAGCTTCACTTCTTTGGCCGCTTTCTCCCCGTCCTCCCGCAAGTTGCGGTCGATCATCTTGCTCCGCTCCACCGCCGCCTTGTCCTCGGCGCTCAACGTGCAGCCCATGGCGGCGGCGGGGAGAGGGGACAGAGCCCGGGCTCACTCACACACCGCGGAAACTGCGACTCGGCTCGCTGAGACAGCGTCTGCTGCTGGGCGGCGGCCCTCTCCGTCAGCTCCCTGAGCGCCCGAAGGAACCGGATATCCGGCGTTTACGACACTTCCGGAAACGCCCCGCGACGGTTACTGCTCAAACCTGTCCAGCTGGGGTAGAGGAGGAGCAACGAAAAGCGGAAGTACGGGGAGGGGGCGGGTGAGGCAGAGCGGCGTTTCCGCGGAGTAGCCAGGTCTGATCGAGCTTCTGTTACGCCGCTCGACCTTAGTGCCTCTTCTCCTTTTCGGCTGCCTTATTTGGATAAATGGAGGAAAACCAGGGACTGGCTTCTCCCGTTCGTGGCACCCTCCCGAGGTCACACAACAGGCTTTGGATTGGAGGTGGGGGAGGGTCCCAAATTAAGAGGCCACAGCCCGCGCCGGAATTTCTGCTGGGGATTTCTCACTGGTCGGAAAGCCCCTTTGATCTCTGGCTATGGAGACCCGGAGCCCCTTCCCAAGTGTAGGAAACTTTCTCTGCCAGGGTTGTCTCAGCCAGATCTACGGGATGAGAACAAACTGCAGAGCCTGGGGCCCGGCCACGCTTCAAATCTGAGGTCTGTAAGACTGACCGTGCCTGGGACCTTAGCGATCCCTTTCTGCCCTCCTTTGGCCCACCGCTTCCTGCTCTCAAAATGTACCTTGGTCCTTGTGCCATTAGCTACGAGTTGCCAAGCGACTATGTTGGCAAAAGGCCACTTGAAATCGCCAAGATACCCTGTTACCTGAAAGGTAAGCGTGTAGTTCCTCCAAAAAATTTCCATGCCGCCTTTCTCCAATAAAAGCCAGTTTTAGTGCCGATAGATGATCCTAAGTTAAGGGGCTTCGGACTTCTACCAAAATCAGTTAGCCTCAGTCCCACACCCCGAAACAAACCAGTGCATCCTGCGAAACTCCTACTAAAATTTCCCGTTGTAGTATCACACAAAAAGGGAAGTTCTAGTAGATTTGTTTCTCAGCTCTCTCATCACCTGAAAATAAATCCACTGCAAAAGCTGGAGACTCAGCCCTTTCACTCCTAATTCTGGGTACTACCGTGAAAGTGGTCCTAACTCACCCTTACTACCAAATAGCTGCACAAATACTCTCATCATACATTCTAGAGAGGAAAACTCTTGTAATTCCCCCAAACTCCCCTGGGATTAAAAACTATTTCCTTAATAGAATTTAAACCTTAGAAGATAAGGCCCCAACAGAAAGCTCTCTGTGGTGATGATTCATTAACTGGGGGGATTTCTTGAGAGCCACAATAAACAACTTCATCCACTATAATTTAGTAATGCAGGTTCTTCAAAGTTTAAAAAGCCTCCTACTCATTCCCAAATGACTGTTAGAATAAAAGGGATGGCTTTCTCATAATCAATACTTATGGGGGAATAGGGCAAGAGGAAAGGGAAGAAAAACCAATATTTATTGAGTACCTATTTGCCAGGTATGGCTAGGTGCTTCCACATGGTCATCTCTTTTAATCCTCACAACAACCCTGTGAGGTAGGTAATGTTACCCCCATTTTACAGATGAAGAAATAGGCTCAGAGAAATTAAGCATCTTTCCCAAGGTCACACAGTGAGTAAGTAGATGTCTGCCTCCAAACTCACCCCTTTTCTACCATGCCACTATAAGATGTTACTTGGGGAGATCTGATGACACAAGGTTTTCATCTAGGCTTGAGGGTTACCCTAACACCACTGGGGTGCAGGAAAAGTAACTGACAGGAAAGTTGTCTCAACCTGTTGATTCTTGAGCTGACTAGAGAAGTCAAATTTGGTCCAGGAACAGCTTGCACAGTCAAGGATTACATAGCCAACTTTACCAAGCGATCCTGGTGACTAGAAAACAACTGGAAGGTGGTCATGGCAGAAATTGTTGGGAGAATTCTCAGCATAATAGAAGAGAAATATTTGTTTCCTTCATGATCCACTCAAGCAGGGAAAAATAAATGGCAAATGAACCAGCATGTGTCAAATTCTGTAATAAATGCCAGTGAGATCACAGTGTCAGGAGATTTCAGCCTGAATTAGAGATATCCTTGCACTTAAAATTCTTTTTTGATATATCTGAAGGAAGGGTTGGAGGGCAAAGTCAAAGGAAAAGGAAAAATAAATTAACAAAATGGCTGCCAGGCAATGTTTAATGTCCTCCCCTTTCCCCGTTCCCTCTCCCCACAGCCCCCCTCCCCAACGCGCACCTTTCCTGTTTCCATTGGACTCACACTGCCACCTGCTGGCAATGCTTAGGGCCTACTAGCTGATCAATGATGTTTGAAGAGGTTTTTTCCTGTTATCTAGGAATGAGGTTCCTCCCTTAACAGGTTTATCTTAAAAGGGAGGAAAGCGAGGAGAACGTGTTTTTCAGTCACAAAAGATTCTCCTTGGTATATATACTATCTAAGGGATTTCCTCAGTGTAATGGGTCCTAGACTAGAGTAAGTCTGGTGGTAGGAAGACAGAAACCTGTAAATTTTCCTAGATCTAAAGGGAGATTTGCTCAGTCTCAGTAAGTAAATTATTTTCCTCAACTAGGGTTTCATTTACAACCCTCACACCTTCCACAGCCCACAGGAAGTTTCCATGTAAGTATCTTGCTGCAGTGGACTGAACTGCAATGTGTTCTTTAATATATTTCTCCAACATTCTTTAGTGTTTTACCAGATATAAATGCTCTGTAAAAATACAAGGTGCCTGATCAAATTAGACTATGAACTCCTCAAAGGCAGTGACTCTGTGTGGGTCCCAGAGAATACTGGGTATTCAACTATTATGTACTGAATTGGACTAAAATAGGAAATGTTGATATCAGTATAACTTTTTATAATAAAAATTATTTATTGGCCATTCAAAGGGCCCACTCCCACCAGCCCATCTTACCCTTTAATGTTCAATGAGTCAGGAATTTGTTCAAATACAGATCAAACCACCCTCTGGTCCTGCCTCAATCCTTTAGTGTTATTTGATTCAACAGAGGGAAGTGGATGGACAGGTAGTCCCAGATGAGTGTCCTGTCCAATTTTCAACTATTCCCCCTGCTTGAAAATACCACCACCAATACCAACCAACAAGTTCCTATAGTCTCAATCAGTAAACAGCTGAACCCAACTCTTGTGCCCTCTCTCCAACCCAGGGCTTCGGGTAGGAGAGAGATTTAAGTCTTTTGTCACTGAAGCTAATTTTGAGAGCGATGAATGGGATAAGGGGGGCATTTAATGGACCATGGAAACCCCACCCTTCCCATTCCCAACCTTAGTCTCTTGTACCCGATTGTCCAGGGGGCTGGAGGTGGGTCACTGCCATGAGGAGAGAGATCAGGGAGGCCAATCCTAGAAAGGGAAAAAAAAAAAAAAAAAAAAAAGATTTACAGTTTTATTGGTCAAGGTGATTATCTGGCCTCTCTGTATCCAACCATCTTAGCCATTCAAATGCTAACCCCCACCTTCAGCCATCCAACTCCCAATCTTTCCACTTCTTCATTCTAAAAAAATGAGGAGAAAGAGCCATCCTGTCATATCCTTGCCTTTGCTGAGATCAAGCCCCAAGCTTGATCTCCCATGTGAAGTAGAGCGACAGAAGAATAGAACAGAAGGGCTCTTCCCCGAGGGTGGGAGAGAGCTGCAGTCAGCTTTCCTGCCTTCTACTCTCTGTACCCTGGCTGCTATTTCCCCCTTGCTTCTGGCCAAACTCAGGAAAGGAATAAATCCAGCTGGCCCTCAGGTCTAAAACTAGAAAAAGAGCCATTAACTCAAATGGAAACATTTGGCTGTACTTTATTTCGTTCTTCTTAAACCTAGCAAGGAAAGGAGAAGACAAGGATCATTTTCTTACCTTGCCTGAGTGCAGTTACTGCCCTGGACAATTGCACTGAAAGATGAAATATCCTAAAGGACCCCCAGTTTAACTCCAAACCTGGCCTGCTGCTCTATACCCTCCAACTCCTACCCTTAGAGAGTTTCCCTGCTTCCTGAGGCATGGAAAGTTCACTGGTTGAAAGGCATTATCTCACCTTGGTGACCGTTTATTCTCATTACCATCTCACCAGGTTCCCTCCCCCAGTAGTCAAGGATCAGAGCCATGTCCAAGGCTTTTGCCACACGTTCATCCTGTTGGCATTGTTCCTGACCCAGAAAAAGCTAAGCAAAAGCTGTGTGCAGAGACCCCAGCCCCAGCCCCTGCTAGCTGGGAAAAGGTGATCCCACAAGATGTTCCTTCAGTCGTCAATGGCCCCAGCCCCATCTCCCTCTAAGTGTCCAGAAGCCCATCAGGATTCCAGTCGAGGTGAGGGGGCAGGCCGGAGGTAGCTGTCCGACATGATGATGTCGCTGGTGAGTTGTTGCTCCAGGAACTCCGAGGTCTCCTCAGCTATCTGGCCTGGAATTCGAAAGTCAACGGCAGGTGGCTCCTGCTTGGGGCTGGGTACGGGTCGGGAAACCCAGGACTCGGAGGGACAGCCAGTACCCTGAAGGAACTGCAGGAAGTTCTCCTCAATGGAGCCCTCCCGGCTAGGTAGCCTCAGCTCCTCCTCCGGAGCCGGCTTGAAGAAGCAGACGAACTGCTTGCTGAGCTCGCCCCGGATCTGCCGGTTGAGACATCCATAGAAGAAAGGGTTGGAAGTGAAGCAGAAGTAGCCGATCCAGGTCACCACGTTCTCCACCTGCCCAGTCGAAATGGGCTGAGCACTCAGGGCCACGTAGAGGTGGAAAGAAAAGTAGGGCAACCAACAGAGCAGGAACTGTCCCCCCACAGCTAGGAGGACCACCGCAGCCTTCCCTCCCCCAAACGTCCGGTGCGGAGTGGTCTGGGGAGCCCCCGAGCTGGTGACCATGGTGGAGCGGCTGCTGAGAGACTCGGAGCGTTGCCGGGGCGTCTCCATCCACGTGGGCAGCGGTCCGTGCTGCATGGCAGCCACTCGAGCTACTCGGAACATGCTGCAGTAAACCACAAGGATAAGGAGCAGAGGCAACAAAAAGTAAAGAGCAGCAAAGACCACCACGAAAAGCTGGCAGTAGGCACTGTGGCTCCATTGGAGTGAGCAGCCTGGGGGGGTGCTGGGCGCTCCCTCCTCCCGGGAGACCCTTCCCAACACTGGCACAGAAGCCATGGCCAAGGCTTTCACCCACACACCCACCAGCACAGAGGCCACCAGCCCCAGCGTCATGCGCACCTCGTAGCGCATGGGGTGGACAACGTAATAGTAGCGCTCCACGTTGATGGCCGACACCGAGAGAATGGCCAGGCTTACGAAGCATATGCTCAGGAACAAGTAGAGGCGGCAGGCGACCTCCCCAAAGAGGTCATGGTCAAAGAGGGCAGAGCTGGAGAGCATGGCCAGGGGCATGAGGGTCAGGGCGGCCAACAGGTCCACCAGGCACAGGTGGAAGACGAAGACGAATTTTCGGAGGGCAGGTGTCTTGGCGATAACAGCCATCACAGCGGCGTTGCCAGCCACAGCGATCAAGTCCAGCAGGAGCATGAAGAAGAGGGCCACAGATTCTGAGGCCACGTCCCGCAGCCCCACCTCTGGGACCCCACTGGCAGTAGAGGGACCTGGTGTTTGAGGGACCCTCCCCAGAGTGGAAGAGTTCCCTGATGACTGGGGGATGGGAGAGGACTCCATGGGGCCGGAAGAGGACACCCAGGGCACCTCCCGTCACAGGCCCATCCCCCATCCTAGTCCAGTGACCCTGGGATGGCCAGCCCAGGCCCAGGCTTCCCAATTTGGTGTGTGGGGGTGTGGGGGGAGGGCGCCTCCTGCTGGAGCCTCCTGGACAGGCTCTTACCGCCAGCCTCCCAAGTCAGACTGTGCATAGGGAACGGAGGGCTCAGAAGCTCATCTCTCCTTTCTGGAAGGTGGTGGCTCTGGTCCACCTTGGTGACATCGAAGAAGCAGGAGATGTGAGAGATGCTGGAGCCTCACTCACTCAACACTCCACCTTCTGAGTGGTCTCGGGCTCCTTGTTTCTTTTCCTTTCCTCTGTTCTCCATACCCTTCTCCCCTCTCAGGGATTGTTATCCAGAGATTCTAAATCCTCTTTCTCCCTCTCCCGGGGTCCCGCTGAGCTCCAGGATGGTGCCCCAGTTTTAAAGTTGCTTATGTAAATTTCCCGATTTCTTGACTCTCCAAATGGCAGAGCTGTTGGGGAGTAGAAGGGACACAGGATCTGGTTTCCAGTTTCAGGTCTGGGAATTGCTAACTCTGTGACTCTTGTGAACTTCAGTTTCCTCACAAAGACATCTGTAAAATGAAGAGAATAATATCTACTTCACAACTGTGTTTGGAGGGTCCGGTGAGACTTCATAACAATACTACCAATAAGCATAACATTTACATGGTGCTTTCCACATGCCAAACCCTGTTCTAAGCACTGTACGTAAATAAACTCATTTTAATCCTCACACAACCTATGAGGTAGATGTTATTCTTATCCCCATTTTGCAATTGATGAAACAGGCCTAGAGAGGGGAAATAACTTACCAAAAGTGGCAAGGTCTGCGTATGTACCCGCAGCCCAAGCGCTCGGGCTCCAGGGCCAGTACTCTACCCACCAGACGGTGCCCCCCACGGCGGCTGGAACGCAGTAGGCATTCGATGAATAGTCATTGAACTTGAACCATCTCTAAAAATGTCTGTCAGTGTTCTGGGGCTCCCATTTGGAAGAGATCACCTGAAAGGGGGAAGGACCTTGTTTTAGTCTCCTGTGACATCACCACCCCCCAAGACACAGAGTTGCCATTTGGGGAGTGTTGAAAAGGAACAGTGAAAACAAAATGTCCCAGCTGGAAGGAAGCTGGGATGTCAGCTCATCCAGCCTCCACTGCCCCCCAAGCCAGAAGGGGCAAGTCACTTGACAGCTGCCCTTCCTCACCCACTCATTAGCTTCTCAAGGCCACTGTGCCCCTGCAGATGGGAGAGGAAATGCTCCCAACCTCACACTCCCCAGGTCCCAGGTCTCTGATCACTGGAGCAGATCCCTGGCCCAGAGTCCTCCTGGTCCTGGACTGTTAGCAGAATCCAGAGTAAGGAGGGAGGAGTAGGTGTCTAAGAGGGGCACAGGGGTGAGAGAGGGTAGGTCACTGTTATCATGGAAATAGGGAGCATAAAGCAGAGAAGGCAACTGAAGGAAATTGGGAGAGGACGAAGTCTGGGGTTTCAGCGTCCCTCATTTCTCCTGATCAAAGGGCAGATCAAATGTTTTATGTGTCTCGTTATCCATATTAAGTTTGCATATAATTGAAATAATGCAATTATAAATTATTTTCACTTCCATATCCTATTCTTACAGTCTCTCAGTATAATGTGTGAAGGTATGCAAATTAGAGGCAAACTATGGACATGCCAAGTCTGATGGGCTGTCTGTAGACAAGTCACAAGTTCCATGGATCACAGTTTCTTCATCTGTAAAATGGGAAGGTTGAACTGGACGACCGCCAAGATTCCCACATCTGACAACACTTAATGACTCTGTGAGTTCCTGGGCTATAAAGGGACTTGTGGTTGCTCAGTTAAAAAACCCATCGTGGGGCATCTGGGTGGCTCAGTCGTGACTTCGGCTCAGGGCATGATCTCGTGGTTTGTAATTTCGAGCCCTGCATCAGGCTCTGCACTGATGGTGCAAAGCCTGCTTGGGATTCTCTTCCTCCCTCCCTCTCTCTCTCTCTCAAAATAAATAAACTTAAAAAAAAACAACACATCATTTCTCTGACTCTAATGAAGTGGACCATGTAAGGCAGACAGGCCCCATTCCCTCTCCATAGTTACAGCCTTACAACCACCCTTGGGTTTTGGCATTACCACCAACCTTGCACTAATGCATGCAATAAGTACTCAATATAACTTTGTCAATTATATCAAACTCAAACTTATCTGTTAAATCCCTGCCCCTGAGTACATACTCCCAAATACACTCAGTAGATCAACTATGTGCCAGCCAGGGGACTCTGCTTTGGAAAGGGTAACCTGGGCTCCTGGACTTGGGGCAGCCCTAACTTTGGACAATTGCCTAGAGAGATGCCTTTCCCCGGGGATAACAGAAAGCTCGTTTCACAATTAAAATGGCCACATAGGCTCAGAGTCTACAAGAGAAGGTGAAGAGAGGGCTCAAAAGTGGAGACATCAGCTTCTCAGAAGACAGTCTGACAGAAAAAAATGCAGAGACCAACGCTAGGGGAGGTGTCCTTGCCCCTTACTCTCCAGGCCATGACTTCTTCGTCCCTTCCACCTGGGAGTGGGGCCCAGAAGATGTGGCCCTGAGGCCCTGGGAGCTGAAGGATAGGCCTCCGTGTCTGCATGGACATCAAGAGTCTGCCAGCAAGGTGCACCCAGGGTCCCAGAGTGAGGGAAGCAGACATGGTATCCACGTGGAGATGGAGGGGGTTCTGTGCAGCCATGATGGAGCCCAAGGCAAGAAGGTATTGGACGTTTCTCGTTTCCATAGCCCCCTCGGCCTTGCCGGTATCTCCACACTGACTCCTAAATACCAGGATTCCAATTTACCTCCTAACAGATGGACCAACATTCCTGCTCCCCAGCACCCTTCTCACTGATGGGGGGGGGGGGGCGTTGGGGATGAGAGGGTTGTGCATGACGGTGTCAGAGGGGAAGCCCAGAGAGCCTCACTCCACCCCTAGCTCACATCATCATGCCTTCTCACATGCTCTCATCTTCCCACTGCTTCCTTCCAGCAAGCCCTCCCTCACCTCCAGCACCTCTCAGTACCTGGCAGGTTTTGCCACCACAGGGGCTAAAGTCTGGTCTCCCAGCAAGGGCATGGTCAAGTTACAAATATCCTTGTTTCAGGATGCAAGATGTGCATAAGTGCCGAGCCCAAGGCCACAGAGGTGTCGTTGGGATTCGCATGCACCTGTTTCCCAAATACAGAGCTTCCACCTCAAGAACCCGAGCCCAGCCTTTCTTCAGACAAGAGCATGCCCCCTCGTAAGCCAGGGGAGATTTCCGGGGGGCTACCACACCTCTCCCCAGCAGAGTTGCCCACGCCCAGGACACAGAGTTGCCCATGAGCGTAGATATCAAGGGACCCACTCCTAGTATGTGGGGTACCCATCTCTATGACATGGAGCAAGACAGATGGGGAACCCTGTCTGCCCGTGGGATGTGGGTACTCCCGCTGGCAGGAGATCAACCCCCATCTCTAGGCTTCAGACATGCCCACACCCCAATACTGCCTTTGAGATACCTGGGAGCCCATCCCTTGACAAAACTGCCCACCATAAGGTAGGGTGGGCTGGGTGGGCTGGTTCCTGGGACACAGAGCTACCCTCCTGCAGAGTACCTCAGCACTCACCATCAGGCCATCGGACTGGCCCCCATTCCTGGCCTAGTCGGCAACTCCTACCTTTGCTGAGCAGCTCCCGGCTCCCATGTGATAGCTCCTCTCAGCTGATGCTTCTCCAAAGCTGCTGAAGCCTGAACCACTGCAGTGAGCAGTGAGAGGCAGCCGGCAGAGCAAGATGCTCCACGAGCTTCTGGGTCCTAATGGCCTCCTGCTTCCCACCCAGCCCCTTGGAGCCACTTCTGAAGCAAGGAGCCAGGCACCAGTGCCCCCAGGGAAGACACCCAGGGGTGGTTCCAATCCCCCTCACTTCTCTCAGGCTGCTGGACTGGCATCTCAAAACTCTAGTGGGACTAGGTGACCATAGGCAGGGGAGACACTCCTGGCCAGCTTGATGAAGTATAAAGGGTATTTAGCATCAGAAAAATCCATTTTGTATTTTTTTAATACAATTTATTGTCAAGTTAGCTAACAGACAGCGTTTACAGTGTATTCTTGGCTTCAGGAGTTGATTCTCATGATTCATTGCTTGCATACAACACCCAGTGCTCATAGAAAATCCAGGTTTAAGGCCTGGCTCTGACACTTACTAGTTGTATGACCTTGGGCAAGTCACTTGCCATTCCCGGCCATAGATTTCTTATCTGTTCAAAGAGAATATAGGAGAGATGATCCTGAGGCTCCTGACAGCCGTGCCATTGCATGCTTCCGTGTGACATTAGAACAAAGATGCCCTTATAGCAGGCCAGTTAGTGCAGACACAGGGTGCCGGGGTTAGGCCTGGCAGCGGCCAAGACTTCAGGGTCTGGCTTCTTTGGCAGATACCAAATATGTACAAAGGATAGGTTTAGGAGTGACATTCAGTTTTGTTTTCAATTTTTTTTGAGAGAGAAAGAGAGAGAGAGACAGAGCAAGAGCAGGGGAGGGGCAGAGAGAGAGGGAGACACAGAATCAGAAGCAGGCTCCAGGCCCTGAGCCCTCAGCACAGAGCCCAATGCGGGGGCTCGAACTCATGGACCATGAGATCATGACCCAAGCTGAAGTCGGACGCTCAAACGACTGAGCCACCCAGGCGCCCCAGACATTCAGTTTTGAAGGGGAGCTAAAGGCCTTGTCCTAACCCTGCATTTGTCCCTCAAACAGGCAAATTACCATTGTTTTCTTAGATTGTAAATTTCTTTGGTGTGGGCTGTGAAAACTTATGGGGGTGGGGGGGTGGGGTGGGATCCACAATGCTTCTCCCTGAAGATAAAGCGGGCACCAGGGACTAGGGAAGGCTCAGGTTAATCTGGATTTATAGGACTGGACTGAGCTGGGGTACATTATCCATGGAGGGTCCAAGGCCATGTTGTTAAGCCTTTGGAGGTGAGATGGAGAAGGATGGCTTCCCACTATGAAGAAGCGATCACTTCCCTTAGGTATATGACTGACACCCAAGGATAGGATCCTAATATTGCAGAGCTCTAAGACATCCTACAGGACAAAGCATCCATGTTTCTGAGGCCCAGAGAGGTGAAGAGATTGTCCAAAGCCACACATGGCAGAGACATGAGATCGGACCAGGAATTCAGACAGGATAACCTACTCCAGAGCCCTCTGCCCAGAGACTTGCCTATCCAGAAATTCCTTTTTGTCCTCAAAAGGGAAGAAAGAGAGTTCTGGAATTGTTTACCAGACCTAACCCACAGAGCCATAAGAACAATGAATTAATTACCCAGAAAACCCAGAGAGAGCAAGGTGGCTGCCCCAGGCCCCAGGTCACCTGCAAAGAGGCCCCCAACCATCCCAGAGCTGGAGCAGTGATCGCCAGTATCCCCCCCACCATTTCTCGAGCTCTTACGAGTGCCAGGTCCTTTACATACAGTACCTCCACTCCCCACACAAGTTCTATGAGGCAGCCTTTATTCCCCTTACTTTATGGATGAGGAAAGGGCGCCAGAGGTTAAGTGACTTTCTGCAGATCATACACATAGGAAGTGCCAGAGCCAATATTTGAACCCAGGTCTGTTTGGAGCCAAGACATGTACTCTTTCCTCCGTGCTCCCTCTGGAGACCTAACATGAGACTCTGGGCTGAAGCCCTAAAGCCTATTCCATAGAAGTGGCCACTGCCTTTCAAGCAACAGCCTAAAACAAAACTACATATACCTTAGTACAGGGAAATGAAATTAAAATATCAAACGTAAACCTGTAGACAGCCAAATGATTTTTATCAAACCCTGGGGCGCCTGGGTGGCGCAGTCGGTTAAGCGTCCGACTTCAGCCAGGTCACGATCTCGCGGTCCGTGAGTTCGAGCCCCGCGTCAGGCTCTGGGCTGATGGCTCGGAGCCTGGAGCCTGTTTCCGATTCTGTGTCTCCCTCTCTCTCTGCCCCTCCCCCGTTCATGCTCTGTCTCTCTCTGTCCCAAAAATAAATACAAAACGTTGAAAAAAAAAATTAAAAAAAAAAAAACAAAAACAAAAAACCCTGTGCTGACATGTTGGCAGGACCATCTTGAGATCAGTCAAACCCTCTGGGATCAATCAGGTAAAACCTAATCAGCTCCCACATGCTTCCTACAGGGTCCCAGCCAATGCCCCCTTCGAAGGATTGAGAAAGAACCAGGGCAGACTCAGGCTCATCAGAACAGGATTATAGAAAGAGCCCTGGATTGGGAAGAAAACCTTGGTTCTAGCTGAGCTCTACTCTATTGGTTGGTGGTAAGACCTTGGCCTGTAAGTTGACCATCTGTGCCTTAGTTTTTCTATCTATAAAATGGGCAAAAATTGGGGCACCTGGGTGGCTCAGTTGGTTAAGCGTCCGACTTCGACTCAGGTCACGATGTCACAGTTCATGAGTTCGAGCCCTGCATCAGGCTCTGTGCTGACAGCTCAGAGCCTGGATCCTGCTTCCGATTCTGTGTCTCCTTCTCTGTGCTGCTCCCCCACTCATGCTCTGTCTCTCTCTCTCTCAAAAATAAATAAGCATTAAAAAAAATTGTTTAAAATGGCACAAATTCTTAACACCCCCCCCAACCCCTAGTTTATCGAATAGGGATAGGAAGTCTGAAATACAAACACAGCCTTCTTTTCAGGCTTGGGGGAGCTAGCCAAACAACTGGTGTGGCAGCCAGCGGGCAGTCTCCAGGCCCTGAGGCCCCTCCCAGAGAGCTGTTAGGACAGGTGGTTCAAAGGAGGCAGTGGACCTTGGAGCATCCTCTCAGCTGCTGAAAGCCATTTTGGTTTGGGAGTACGGAGGGAGGGAAAACTTCCTGTCCTGGCCCTGGGGCAGCTGATGACAATAATAATAACAGGGATGATATGATGATGGTGGTGGAGATACCACTTTTCGAGGGCCCGGCCTGCGGAGGCACTTCTTATGCTGTATCTCATTAAATGATCGAAATCAGCATTTGGAATAGCTATTGACATTACCTGCCACCATCCCATCCTGCCAATCCTTCTTTTTACAGTTTAGCGCAATGGAGGATGGGGCAGACCAAGGTGGAGAAACTGGGGTGGTCACACAGACCATGTCAGAAATCCACTGCCCACCATGCCGCATGCAGGCCCAGAAATGGGCTCCTGTTACACTGGGGGCAGCGGCACCCCTCTCCTCAGTATTGTGATGGGCTCCCTGGTCCTAAGGTCTAATTTCTCCATCCCAGACTTGCTCCTTGGGGCGGCCCTGTCCCACTCACCCTTGCCCACCGGCACCCCTTGACAGGGTCACATCTGCCCTATGCTCCCCGGCCTCCCCCAGCCCTTTCCTGCTCCCTCAGGAGGAGACCTGGAAGCGAACCAAGTGTACCTTTCATCTGTCCATCCACCTAGTCAATAAATATCTATCAAATACCTTTTATGTGCCTACAGCTCTCTCCCAGTAACTCCTCACCTGCTTAGTGGCACCCACGGCCCTTCTCCGTTCTCTCTGCCTCTGTTGAAACCTGCTTTCAGGAAAGAGGCTGATAAATCCACTCACGCTGATAGCAGCTAATGTGTTCCCTCTCCCAGGGATATTAACAATTTAACAGGGAACAAAGGGAAGAAGCTGAATGCTGGGATTCCAGCATCGACCAGGGGTGTCCCTGAGATCCCACAACGTGGACTGTCAGTTCGGCCGCCCACTCCCCAGCCTGGGCTTGCCCCCCAGGATGCCAGCATTGGATCTTCTCTGCACCCCCCACATCCACATGGACACCCAGCTCTCCCCACACAGACAGCAGGCTCACAGCTGGGACCTCCCCGCCGTGGCTCGTGGCTGGCTGTCCAGATCCCCTGTACCAGTACCAGCCATGCCTGCTCCCCGGGCACCCACCCCTGTGCCCACGATCTGGGGGCCAGGCTGAGGGGCTGAAGAGGAAAGCAGAGTGAGAGCCTTTCCATTCCCTTTATTCCCCCCACAGTCTGGCCTACACCCCCTGCCAGGAGCCAGGATCCAACGGTATATTCAGCCTGCAGCTGCCACTGGTCATGTGAGCCCATTGCTAGGTTACAGGGACCCAAAAATAAATCCTTCCCAACCAGATTAGAAACTGGGGGCCTTGGATGAACCAGGCTCAAAAGAGTGGCAGGAACACCCACAGTGCATGTGCAGGCCAGGCCTGCTAGGAGACAGGGGAGCCTTCCCCATACGGCCCACCCTTCTTCCATCAGTCTGGGCTCAAGGCTGGACCCCCAAAGAAAAACTACAGACAGTTCCTGGGTCCTTGACAACTATACAATAAGTAGGTCTACAGGGAGAGTGGGTCTTCCTAACAGTCAGGGATTGCTTGGGCAATGCCCCTCTCCCTGTTCTTCCCATCCAACCTCCCCACCATCTGCCTACCCTCTGAAAGCCCCATCCCACCCCCAGTGCACCCACAGGGCACCATTAACCATTTTCCCTGTGGCCTGTGAAGCGATCTGTATCAACTGCCCTTTCCCAGGCTCAGGAAGGGAGATCCAGCAGGGACACAGTACTGGGCACTTTCACAGAGTTCCACAACAATCTTCTGAGTTAGATTTAAGTAACTCCATTCATAAATGTGGAAACTGAAGCTCAGAGAGGTTAACTGACTTTCTCAGAGCCACACAGTTGAGCAGCTGGGCTTCACATCCCAGATCTGTATCTACTGAGGATGGGGATGTGGCAAGGAAGAGGACAGGGAAGCAT